ATTAAAAAAAAAAAAAAAAACAAACAAAAAAAAAAGTATCATGGTTTCCACAAAAACTTTAACACGGAAACATTTTTAAAATACTTAAGCAGCAAATCATCTTATTAAAATTATTTTTGAAAGATCATGTGACACTGAAGTCTGCAGTAATGGCTGCCGAAAACTCAGCTTTGCCATCACAGGAATAAATTACATTTAAAATCATATTCAAACAGAAAACAGTTGCTTTACATATTTCACACCATTACTCTCTTTACTGTATTTTTGATTTTGGTGAGCATAAGAGACTTTTCAAAAATATTTTAAAAACTTTATTATTCTAAACCTTTGACCGGCAGTGTAGATGAACAAAAATGAGCTATTTGACCCATAACGCTGTTTAATTTTTTTAATTATTATAGGACATTTATGTTATTAGACCATAGCAGACCATAATGGAACATCAACAGGTGCACACACACCATGGCAATGTAGTTGTAATTTTGAATGATCTGTCGAATCTTCCTCATCTCCTCATCCACATTGCTGGCCCAGACCTCACAGATAATCTGACTGGTATCTGCAAGTGCGGCTGGCATGATGATGATGATGATGAAGGCTGAGGACCTGATCAAGTATCCCAGCGATGCTGAAGCTCTCACAGGCAAAAGAAACTCTGCCAGGAAGATCAATTAGGTTAATGAGGTTTGAATCAACTACCGTGGCTTTTATTCTGATTTAACTCTTGTAATCTTGGAAATATTTGAAAGAACATACATTGTAACGAAAGACTGGTGAATATTAATAACATAGACAATGTTTGCAAACTCCACCAAATGACTACCCAAGCAAATCGAATCTTCAATTTGAGTCTATTATCAGGAAAAAAAAATAGTGGAAATACGACAAAAGCAGGTGAATATTAATGAAACTGCTGAATATTCATTTAATATTAACATGCACAACGCTTCCAGACCCAAATATTAACTAAAAGTTAATGACTATTAACTCACTTAAGGTTAATATGCACAACTCAAACAACTGACTACCTAAGTATCTTCCAATGAATTTCCAATATAAACGGTAATTAACTTATTTGATTAAACATATTAACTGTTCATAAGCCGGTCATGTGATATAAAAGAAAATTAACCATAGTTTTGTTGGATGCGGGAATGATATTAGCTTAAAATGTTAGCATCTGTTTGTCTGCTGTCGCCAAACACATGAACAGACAACATTTGCATTACAGCGAGACTATGAAACGCTATCTAAGCAAATACCATACTGCAAAATGCAAAGTTTCAGAATGACTAGTTACCTGGCAGGAGTATAGTTGTTAGATGTAGGTGTAAAGCCGCTGTGCAGCTGGACAGCTAGCAGCGACTCTAAACACACACACAGCGCGCTGCTTCCGGTCCTGCGGGATTGTGGGAAAACAGCCGCCAAAACTAAAGCCTTTCAATCATTGGCAGAGCAACAATAATAATAAAATAAGAAATAAAAAAGCACAGGCTAGTGTCATTTAATTACTTAATATATTTGATAGATAGATAGATAGATAGATAGATAGATGGAAAGTTATAGATAGATAGATAGATAGATAGATAGATAGATAGATAGATAGATAGATAGATAGATAGATAGATAGATAGATAGATAGATAGATAGATAGATAGATAGATAGATAGATAGATAGATAGATAGATAGATAGATAGATAGATAGATAGATCGATAGATGGATAGATGGATAGATGGATAGATAGACCAACATTGGACAGCAATGCATAGAACTCAGAGATTTAGCTATAATTTTATAATCCACATTGTTTAAGCTAATTGGGCGATAAGAAGAACAATTCGCTGGGTCTTTGTCTTTTTTCAGAAGCAGGCTAATAACCACCAACGACCAGGATTCAGGCATAGAATTTGAATCTAATACTGTATGCATTTTGAAAGCATAAATGGAATCATTTGCTGAAAATGCCCCATATATTGCCCATTTTTTACATTTTACTTTAAGTAACTGCACATAATAGTTGGAATGAGAAGAAAATCTTATTGGCTTCAAACATTTCAGTACAGGTAAATCTATTATTAGGAATATGACTGTACAAATACAAACACACAAAACATTATAAAGATTAGAAGAAAGGATTTTTTTATATTTGTTGTGAAACTACAAAACATACTATTGTGCTGGTGACATATTTACAATTCTGGTTGACAGTACAGTGTCGATGATAAAATTCACAGCTTTCAGACGTCTCACAAGAAAAAGAAAGACAGCACACCCAAATCACAAAAGTGCAATAAATACAAGCTATACTTCTCAAACCATCTCTGTGACCAGATCAGGTTCTTTTTCCATCAATACAAGATTTAAAAAAAGAAAATCTTATTGGCTTCAAACATTTCAGTACAGGTAAATCTATTATTAGGAATATGACTGTACAAATACAAACACACAAAACATTATAAAGATTAGAAGAAAGGATTTTTTTATATTTGTTGTGAAACTACAAAACATACTATTGTGCTGGTGACATATTTACAATTCTGGTTGACAGTACAGTGTCGATGATAAAATTCACAGCTTTCAGACGTCTCACAAGAAAAAGAAAGACAGCACACCCAAATCACAAAAGTGCAATAAATACAAGCTATACTTCTCAAACCATCTCTGTGACCAGATCAGGTTCTTTTTCCATCAATACAAGATTTAAAAAAATAAAAATAAAAAAAAATATTAAATGCACTGGCGTTTATAAAAGTCCTACTGTGACCAATAAACAAATCATTCATGACTACCAGCATCAGATACTAACAGCATTTTTTTTGTGTGTCCTTGTGATTATTTTGAGCAAGTAGTACATGATTTATGGATGACTGGACCAAGCATCCAAATAAAAAAAGGCAAATATTGTGTCCTTATGAACCACAGAATTCATAGTTGAAGAGCACCTAATCAATCAAGACAACTCTCTCCAACACATACTGTGAACGGTAGATACTGTACGACCAGTGAAAACACAAGACATTTTCTATTGTTCGAGTACTCTCAAAATGAGATCAACTGTAGTGCTTCCAGGTGAACGGTACAAATTTAAAGGGGACCTATTGTTTCTCTCACATTCAAATAACCGTAAATTCGTAAAAACTGTAAATCTGAAAAGCTCTGGTAAAAATCATTTTTAAAAAAGTACCTTAATTAAAAATGCCAATGTGAGAAAAATGCACATCACACAGCAGCTTAACAAACTGAGCTGGGATGTAGTCTATGTTTGGCAGTGTACTGTCTTAACCGGGTCTAATCTACGAAAATAATACATTAAAGAGAAATGAAAAAACAAAACAAAAAAAGAAATGTTTGTACTCTCATAAACTAAGTTAAACCACCGAGTACAATGGCTTCAAAGTGAAATCTATATGATGCTTCTAGATATTTGGCTAAAAGCTTTGGGACAGCATTTCTGTTGGGTCTTAAGATTTTGTTTATAATGTGCCGCCATCAAAAGAAATGTGCAATCTCCATCTCCTAAACCAATTTTAGCCAAAATTACACTGGAGAAGAAATTAGGGTTTCATAACAAGAGTGCTAGTACAAGTTCAGTTCCGTCTGTATGCCACTAGGTAGAGCAAGAGACTAGACCATATGCATTTGTGCACTGCAGATGAAGGAGGGCTTCTGGACCATCCTTTCCAGACTTCACACTATAGTTTCAGACATTGTGGTATCATTTTAGAGCATATCATAGCCCGGTTAGTCATAAGGGTACAACTATGCAACATAATGAGTGTAGAAATAACGCTACTACAATTCCAATTGCATATTAGTTGATCTGAGGTTGAGCCAAGGACAGTACATTCAATATTTCCTTGAGGAACAAAGACATAATAAAGCACAGGAGGATCTCATTAAGAACATAATTGTACATGGGAAGGCGTACCAGCAGGGGAGCTGAGCGAATGCAAAACAAAGATGTTGAGAGCACAAACAACACCTTAGCCAAGTAAGTTGGAGATCAACTGGAGATTTGACATAACATTTAAATGTGAGCAAAATCCATGAAACTGGGCTGGTAATAGAATTCATAACTGGTTAAATTAGGCCAACATTATGTACAAACAAGGTAAATCAGCACCAAATAAAGGGTTGCATCAACTGGGGCTTTTTTAAAGTGCTACATTCAAACTAACATCTTGGTCTGTGATGCAAAGCTATTGTTCAAAAGGGGTTTTAATGACATGGTAGTAACATTCATAGTCATCTATTATCAAGGTACTTGCAAAGTGTTCAGTTAAATCCAATTTTTTTTGTATGTAGATGAAGAGTTTAGTGAAAATCAATATTAGATTAGCATAGAGGGAGTGCTCATTTACATAATGCAAATCACCAGTGACTCCCTCCGTCTGAGGAGTCTCCAAATGTTGCACAAACAGATCTCTGCAGTGGCGTGCGATACATTATTAAGTGTTTACAGGGAGAGCTGGGAATTATCAACTGCGTGCCTTCACAGCTTTCAGTGCCTTGGATGTGTTGAGGTTTTCTTGCCGCAACAATTATACGTTTCCAAATTTCAACACTGCTCTTCATAAATGGGTCAAACTCACAAAAACTGTCCAGGTCTTATTTTTCTCCAAATTCAAAAATTCTAAAATTATTTTTATGGCCATTAAGGATTTTGGATTTTGATTTAATTATTTTCAGGTACTAGTCTACTGAAAGGCATTTTTCTGATTACTGTAAAAAACAAAGATCAAATTTGCTATACATTATGATAGTATTATGATGGTATTTAATTTAGCTCTTTTCTTAATTACAAAAAATAGTCACAGTAATTAGAGAAAAAATTATTCTCATTACAGTAATGCATTTGACACTGCCTAAAAGCAATGAGTTTTTCCTTCACGTTATAGTATTACGAATTTAGGGAAAATGTGCTTAATTGTCATCATAAATAATCTTACATTACAAATCATTTTATGCAAATCCTATGCAAAATATAATTTCCTATTTTTATGCTGTTTATGGGGTGAAATATGTTACGTTTTTTGAGATTCAACACACCAAAGACTCCTCTAGTACTGGTAGGTAGCAATTACAATAAGCTTGAGAAATGTTAAGATATTGGCTTTGACGTAAAGGAAATTATGCTACTATTACAGTACGTTATTATTACACACAAAGCGGAGTTTGTAGTCTGGAGCTAACCTGTAGACGGTTGTGAGGGGTGTTTTTAGATTAGAAGAGATCCAAACCAGTAGAAATGAAACACTATTATGCCACTGTAGGAACTAGAATGGGAAGTTAAATCCTAAAAAGACGCTTAAAGTTTTCCAAAGACGCAACAAAAGCTAGTATATGGGACAGTACGATCTTAGCGTTCACAATGTGCTTTTTTTTGCTTTATTCTCTATATTGATGTCTTTTCTATTAAAGTGCTTGAACTATCTGATATTCTACCTGAGAGTCTGTGGAACTAAGTGCAGTTTCTACATTATTTTACGATCATTTGCACTAACATGTCTTGTTTGCATATGCAATTAACAAAACGAACATGGAGAACTGTTAGCAATCAATTTAGTCTACTAACCGGTCTAATTAACTCATGCTTTAGATTCATGCTTGCTAACATCTGTAACCGTTTACATATTTGCAAAAAAACAACAACAACTGTTGAACATAAATGTGGACAGATGTGCTTGTTTTAGAGGGACGTGACTGGAATAGCAGGATTTACACCCGCTCATTTTGTCCTGAACCCTTGTGCTATGAAAAGTAGTACCGTAAGTATTTGTATTCACAAGAGTTACAGTAAGCAGTCCTGCCCTATTAGCAGAGCAGCATGTTTCACACTCGTTTCAAAGACGAACTGGTGACCAGTAAAATACCTAGTACAGATACCGACATACTCTTATTATTAACAGAACATGGTGAAATTAAAAAATAAATCTATCTAAAAAAAACAAACAAACAAAAAACACGGATCTATACAATTTCAGTTGAGAAACCCAGTGTTTTAAAATGACATTTTTCCTGCCCAACATATATTTTCCCGTCACACCATTCTTCATAATACAGCCAGATGTCAGTTTTGTCTCCATGGAAACAGCAGTTGAGATGGATATCTGCTACACGTCGTCAGCTGGTAGGTCAGGAATGTTTATCTTTGCCCTGGTGAAGAAGGCCATCTTCTCTCTATGAGAGATTACAGCAGACAATAAGTATAGCTTGAAACTGAATGATGTCAGATATAAAACAATGGAAGGGTTATTACTTATTAGCTCTGTTCCAAATCGTAGTGAGCTGCCTGCCCAGAAAGAATTTTAAAGATGCACTCCAGATGTGATGGCTATTAATTTTGTAACTTGAATGTGCAGGGCTTTCAGTGTTATTCGCTTCCAGTTATTTGTAGCTGTACAAAGCTCATTATGCTGCTTTATACAGCAAACTGGTATTATTTACCATATTATTTGAATGTATTGTCAAATTTACAAACACTGATTGGTAGCGTAAATAGTTTTATCATTTACTGCACTTTGTTATTCTTCTAGTCATTTACCTATAGAAGCTGATGAATCAGAAGTCTCACACATTCACAGAAAACCTTTGCATTGCAAAATAAGGTAGATATATAAGGCAATCCTATGAATTAAATAATAAATACAAAAAAAAAAAAAGATCAATGTCGTTGAAAATGTATTATTTCAGCCCAATATTTGTGCATGTCATGTGTTTTTATGCTAATGGACCCTTTTCACATTTCCGGGGTTCTTGGAAGCCGAAGTTGTCATAGGTGGGGAAATTTCTACGGTGGTAAATGGAAATAAATTTGCCATTTAATTAGAAACACACATGCAGCAGCATTACCTAGTTTTCTGTAATTTAATTCCAAGGTAATATAACACAAAGTATATGTTGTTAAAGACAGTGTTATAAATGTACATTAATTAAAAAAAAAAAAATTGCTACATTTACACTGAATAACTGTGGAAACGCATGATCACAATCTGTGACAAGGGTCCATTACAGTATAGCGTCATTAGCAACTTCAAACTCTATTGGAGTCAATTGTTGATTCTAGACTTCTGAAGAGGACTATCTGAGCAATACATGCAGTTGCTGCCTATGTAGAGTGCTCCAAATAAGTCATTTAAGAGCTTCCATTTGACTTTATGATGCTGACAAGAAGGTAGCTGCCAACGTGGCCATTAGACAGCATTGCAGCTCAGTAGATTTAGGAACTGAGCTATATTTTCCAACAATAACCTAAGCTTAAGATAACGCATAGGATCAGTTCAGAAACAGTGTTTTGGATAGGTAGCAACAGATGCCCACCTAAAGGACTGGACCCCAGGAACCTCCTTAAGGCTCTGTCCACGAATCTTGTGCACATCCTTAGCTGCTGCTTGCATCATCTTCTCTACCCTCTGTTCCTGTAGCTGCTCTTCCTGGGTCTAAGGAGAGAGTGGCAACACAAATTCAGATGCTGTAGGTTGTTTAAGATGGCCCAAAAACACGCCATTTGTGGATTTGTTATTTCTGGAAATCTGCTGGGACTCACCTGTCTCTCTGTATGTTTGAGCAGCAGACGGAAGCGCTCGTCCTCCTGTACCCATTTGGGAAGGACATGCTGGCCCTGTTGCCGGGCGCTCTCTAACTGCTCCTTTAGCTCCCGCAGCACACGCAGTTCCTCGTGCAGTCGGCTGTGCCGTGTGCGAGTGACCTGCAAGTCCAGCTCCAGATCCAGAGAGGTGCGCAGGAGCCCATCCAGACCTTTGACCTGCATCTGCGGCTGTGTGTGATAGAGAGAACAAAGGAGTGACATTCACTGACCACTGTATTGGTATTGTTATATTGGCACATATAAATTAAAAGTATTCAATATCATTCTTCTGTGTGTTCATTTAGCGAAAAAAACAATGTTGAAAACAAAGAATCTGAAACTGCTTGGCAACAACAGCCATTTGATTAAATTGATGGCTTTTATAACTGAAAACCAAACCAAAACCACAACAAAACAATGAATGAATCAATCACTAAAAAACAACACAACGAAACACAGCACAAAAAAAATGAAGAGCTTGTAGAGCTAGGTGCAGTTTCTATTTCATTTTACAAACATTTGCACTACTGTGTCTTGTTTGTGTGTGACATTAACAAAATGGACATGAAAGGCTGTTAGCAAGCTATGTAGTCCACTAACCGGCCTAGTTAACTCATCATGCTTTAGTCTCATGCTTGCTTACATGCTTACTATTATTATTTTTATTTGTAAACTATATCATCCAAGCTTAGTTAGTATCCTACATCTTTAACCACTACACCATTTACCTCACCTTTGTAGACTGGGATATGTGATCTTCATTTTTAAAGAACTTAGGAGACTTTAAAGCCCGTACTATAAATCATTGAAGCTCTCTGTACAGTCCTCATTAAGCAAATCCATTCAAACTTTCAACATCTTAGTGTCTTTAAAAGACTCAATGTAATGTGTCTCCTAAGGCACAGTGAGAGCAAACCTGACCTTTCTAGACTATTTAAGGGCCTGTAAATGGGCTCAAGCAAACCCATTTCCTCACGCTGAGACTGTGCTTCATTAACACTGACCTCAGGTCAGTACAGAAATTAAGGTATTAAATATTAAACTCCAGCTAAAAAGCTTAAACTCCATTTTCTAATGAAAACGCTTGGCTTTAGTGTTGGTGAAAAGCATTCAGTTTCCTAAGAAAAACCCAGTGGATCCCTGAGTGGAATTTGATTCTAACCCTGATGGGCAGTTGAGATGCTTGGGGTCCCAGACATTTTCATATTGTATTTGAGCTCCCAAACATTTTTTTTTCATGGTGGATGGTTGAAGCGTGTTTATCGAGTTTAGAATGAATTCTCATAAGATTAGCAGAAGCCAGAAAGCATTAAACTAAATGAGTAGATGTCAATATATAATATTTTTGTTACCTTCTTCATTCGAACACTGCGTCTCTCTGAGGCGTTCCGGACGAAGGGAGATTTCTTAGACAGGGTGGAGCTGTCACTGTCGCTGCGGTTGATCTGGTAATTTTGGTAAGTGTGGGCATTGGTAAAAAACTTACAGGAATAGTGAGCTCTAATACTAGAATCAATATGTACATATATTTGTGTGTGTGTAACTGTGTTCTTACCCTGCAGATATACTGGCTCTGAGGTCCAGGGGAAAATGTCTTGGACCGGATGATGGTGTTTCCTCGCATAAAAGGGTTTCGCTGATGGACATCATGTCGCCGCTCCTTGGGCCGAACTACAGAAGCAGAATGAGGGAGACCATCCACACTTGTCTCTTTATTCACCTAATAAGGCAAAGAGAGGATGTCAGCAAGTTTCATTGAAAGAACTCCCATAAAAGCAATGAGAAAGTTCTATGTAAATGAATCATTAATGCCACCTTTTCCGTTATGACAGCTGTTGGTCCAGGTTTAACTGGCTCTTCCGCCTGTTCCCACTGGCAGTCGTCAGGGTAGAACTCCTCATCCTCCTCACCATCACTACCTTCTTCATCCACAAACACGTCACCATCCAAAGCCTCTGCGGTGCTATTATATACAAACATATACCATTTGACACCAGGGTTATTATTAGGGGTGGGAATCGCAGGGTACCTCACGATACGATACGAATCATGATACATGGCTCACGGTATGATAATATCACAATACAGCGATTCGGCGATAATCAATATATTGCTAGACAATCCTATAAGGATACATCACGATATCTGTCTAACTATGAAAACTAAATGCCTGTGAAAAGGTTACGTGCAAGTTTTCTCTCTTTATTCAAGTCCAAACTGTTAGAAAACAGCACAAAAGTTCTGTAAATCAAATTCAACATGCTAAGTAAATTAATCATTTTATTCTTGGACTTATTAAAAGCTTACACTTTTCTTTGTGTGTAAACCAACACATTTAACTGCTTATCAACTTTATATATAGCCTATATATATATAAACCTGGTACATCAAAAATCATTCAAAATTTACCTGGAGTGTTTTCTCAACCTTTCCTCTCCTCTCATCATAAAAACGGAGCCCCGCACACATGACATGCAGGGAAAAAATAGCCGTTCCCATCGCCTCTTCTGCGCGGTCAGGTTCGTTATTTCAAATGTAGACACGCGGCAAGCACACACACTGCACACTTCTGCGCTGCGCATTACGGCACTGACAAGGTTTTGTTTCGTCGCCCATGCCATAGGTGCAGATTTATGTTTCTGCCAACTGCATAACGCACACTTGCAATATCTGAGAGAGAGAGGGAGAGCATCCAGTTTTGTTGACATAAAACTGGACGCGCCGGCGGCACTCTCTCACTTAAATCCACCTACGACCCGAGTGGAGAGGTTAGGCTACTCATGGACTGATTATGCGCTCTGCAGTAATAACGTGATCGGTGCCTATGGTCCACGCTGATAGCTGTTCCGTGGCAGTTTTTTAGTTCCATATTTTTATTTCCATAAACATATATAACAGTAGAGCTAATACAGTGGCTGGAAATCTGTTTATCCTTCGGTTCCTCGTGCTTCCCCATCTTCATAGACAACGCGGTTCATGGTTGCTTAGAGCGGTTTGGAAAGAAGGTGGAAATGGCGCAACCGCGATTTCCACACATTTTTTGACGCTGGGAGCAGGGAAATCTATATAGAGCGCCTTGTTGTAATAATTAAAATATCGATATTTGGCGCCAGATATCAATTCTCGTATCGCATGGAGAAGGACAACGATATATCGCCATATCGATATATTGTCCCACCCCTAGTTATTATGGCTCAAAAATTTTCCCAGGCATGTTTTTTTTATTTCAGTCTTGTTTCAGTCAGTTCTAACTGTAAATAAATAGTTTTGATTTTGGTTATTTTATTTTGGTTTAATTTTTATCATACGAAAATTACTTCTTTTAGTTTTGCTTTCGTTTAGTTTCAGTGTTACTTTAGTTTCCATCCATTTAAGTACGCACAAATTGTTTATTATTGTTTATTATGGATTTTATCCATATAGTTATGGTTAAGACCAAAAGTTAATTTTGTCCCAAGTAATGAAAGTAATTTCTCTGTTAATTAATTTAGCTTTCACATTAGTAAAACTTTTGGGGGCAAGGACAGTGTATCAATGTTGAAGTACCACTTATTCAGAGGTCACTTCCAAGCTAAGCACCTTATTATTGGTCAACACAGCAGATTGAAAGTTTGAACAACAAACTTGAATCCACATTAAAAAATATTTTGCCTCATGCGAAACTCCAGATTGCACAGATTTCTATTTAGATGACTGCATTTCGCCCGTAGAATTCCAACACATGTAGTAGATGCAATTACATTATTATTATTATTTTATTTTAATTAATGAAGAAAATTTTAGATTCTTTCTTTAACGTAGTAATTTATTTATAATAAATATATAAATAATAAACAGTAATAATTTGAAATTAATATTTTTAATAGTACCAATAATGTAAGTTAACTAACATATTTTTGTTTGGCATCATTCAAATCATCAGTACTGAAAGTCACAGTGCTCCAAATTAAACCGGAAGTTATTGCTGTGACATGGTTCAGTCAAACCATAATGTTCCTAAAAGATCAACACTTTAACTTTTCTAGTCTGCAACCTTTCAGAAGCAAGTGTGAGTGAGGGTGGAAATGCTCTCAAAAAATGCAGCCATGCCACATTCCTGTCCTTGTTTTTAAGTTATGGCAGGTGGTTTTGGTTGAATCATCATCTGAAACAATCAGGTCTTGTAATTTACAGAGAAGCGACCTCAAAAGAGTCCAGAAAATGGCATGAGAGAAGAATGCCACTCAGTATTGCTCATGCACTGCACTTGGATTAGTTGTTCATCCTGTTTAAATTACTAATGTAATTTTGGCGGAGCAGATCAAACATCAGGAAAAGTGAGTCATCGTGTGCTATCATGCTATGATGAATTCCCACGAGACAGCAGAAAGGTCATTCAATAGGAAAATAGGGGTTGGATAAGAAAGAGAAGGAATATGAGATCCAAACAGCTTGTTAATTGTTTGTGTGGATGCTGGGTGGGATACTGCATGTGATATGAAACCCAGACTCACACTGACATATTGTTATGTTGACAGCTGTGCTAAATGGTAGTAAAGCTTATTATACAAGTTGTGACAGGTAACATACCATTCCTCCAGAGGAGCATTCTCCAGGCGTGCAACAGTGCTCTCTGAGGTGCTGGGAGCTAGAGTCTAAAAATAAATAAAGAGATGAAGATCATGTATTTAAAAAAAAAACAAAAAAAAAACATTTGGTTTGGTCAGTCCCAACTCCGAGGTCTTGACCTTCTCCATTGCATCCAACAATTAAAAACAAAATATTTTATTTTGAGAAAGTAAGACACAAATCATGACAGCCTCAGGCCTTATTTTGTACCTTATTCGTGGAAAGTGACAGTAAAATGCAGATATATTTCCTTAATCCATCTTAACAGAACAAGCTGTTTGTAAATTCCAAACAGCTTGATAAGAAGCAAAGCAACTAATTATGTAATTTGATCATCAACAGTATTAGAGACCAGCAAGAGCTGTTTGGGCAAGAAAGAATCCATTTCTTCATCTGAATGATGAAAGAAATTAATATAATATTAATGAAGGCTCCTTGTTCCTCAATAAGCATAGCAATTTGGCAAGACCGATTCCAAGAATATTAAAAAGGCATTTGGCTGTGATGAGGTAAAATGAGTTGAGGATTGTGTGTGTGTGTGTGTTGGTTTTACCAGCTGCTGCTGAACAGAGACCTCTGTTTCCTTGTGATTTCCATCCACTGGCATGTATGTGCAATTGAGGAGGTTGTACCACTTGGTGCACAACTCCTCTGAATACTCTTCATCAGCCAAACTGATCTGAGCACCAGCCTTTCAAGAGAAAAAAGACAAGAACTGAATAAGCCAGGCCCATATTCACAAAGCATTATATGACTTTATTTAGACATCATCACTGTTTGTTTTCTCGCATTAGAAACTCACTAGACAGTCCTCTCGACCAGACTTCCTGGTGGTACAGACATCGATGCGTAGAGTCTTCTGTCTGAGAGCAGCGGAGGACATCTGGAGGCTAAACGCTTCCTTAAACTCTAAGGGTTCCTGCGGCAGAGACCCGTGGGTGCGGAACAGGCAGCGAACGGGCTCTGAGCATGGCAGTACCACCACACGGACATATCTGCAATAGATTAAATCCAATCAGAGATGGCCTTTCGTATCAGAGATGAGCATCCACATGCCAAAACAGGACAAGAATTGGCCAGTCATTGATCAGTGGTTCTCAACTCAAGGGTTTTAACTCCAAAAAATGGTTGTGGGGAAAAAACAACCTTGGGTTTAGGAATCAAATTATTCAATAAAATGTAAATTCAAGGAGTCAAGATTCAATTCCAAAATGATTCTCAAGGCATCTCAATTGTTCAGCAAAAGCGCAGAGGCATTATAGTTGCTGAATTGCAATTATTACACATAAAAGCCACAATAAAATGTCTGTTTGATATGTACACAGGAATTATTAAAGGGGTCATATGACGTTGCTAAAAAATAACATTATTTTGTGTATTTGGTATAATGAAATGTGCTTATGCAGTTTAAGGTTCAAAAAACACATTATTTTCCACATACTGTACATTATCGTTTCTTCTCTATTCCCCGCCTTTCTGAAACGTGTCGATTTTTACAAAGCTCATAATTCTGAAAAGCGAGGTGTGCTCTGATTGACCAGCTATCTAGTGCGTTGTGATTGGCCGAATGCCTGAACTGTCCCGGTGCGACAAGACAAAAACAATAAAAACCCATTATAAACGAGGCATTTGTAGCATCCAGTGGGGACATAATTACGGATTATAATGACTTATATGGTCTTTTTACGCGTTGCATCGCACCGCGTAAACATAAAACTGTAAACATAAAAAATGTCTGCATTTGTGATCGGAGAAACGACAAACAACAAGCGCTACTCTACACTGCTCCAAACTCACGTTTGAATAGTCAGTGGCAAATTCTTTAAATATGAAAACGTACTTACAGGCTGCGAGTCAGAACAGATGGCATTGTAGGCTACTCTCCCAGGTTCAGGCAACAGTCCTCCGTAAAATGCGCAGCACACATTTAAATATTTTGTTTGAACTGTTCTGGAACAGTGTTGTAAATACAACTTAACCAACTGATTTCTAGTTGTGTCCTCTTTTGGAAGGCCAAACAAAGTATTTTCGCTTTCGCAACGAAACACACAGCGCCTCCACGACATGGCGGCGGCGGCAACAATACTACAGCGAGAATCAAAGTTATGCCTTCTTTCTTTGCGTGAACATTTGGGCGGCGTTATGCAAATCTTCCCACACAGTGACGTAGACATGTGGGGGCGTGTTTGAACGAGGCGTTTTAGGAGGGCGTGGACGAGTCTTAACTTTTATAAAGAATATCTCTTTTGGTTTGAGACTTTAGTCTTTGCAACTTTAGGGATCTTATCTATTCACAAACAGCTTGTAACACTCCAAAGAGAAAGGAAAACTTGAAATCGCATCATATGACCCCTTTAACTCTCAGTCACATTTAATTTTTTTTATGGACTGATCCAGAATAATCAGAAAAACAATCAGAAAAAATTGCAAAGTATCCGTGAATCGATTCCTCCACTTTATATTACCATTTTACAACTATTGAAAGGGTTAATTCCATTTGTAAAACCCAGCACATTTCCCTAGAAGAGATGCTTCATCAAAATTACATCATGCTGATTAAAATTAATGTCTCCATCAGCTTTAAATGAAGCTAGAGGAGACAGCGCAATCCTCACATGTTCTGGTTGGCTGGCAGGGAGAGTGCGCTATAGTTGGAGAGCTGCATTACGAACACTGTGAACTTCTTGTCTTTCGCTTCATACTTCAGACCGAGTTTGATCTGAGAACTACTTGCTGAGCTCCCGTCATCATAACCCAGCTGTTGCTCAACAGGAAGCCCCGACCTGTGGGAATGAACAGCACCATTTTACTATCTGAATCAGGGTCTGTGATAAAACGTCACTTTTAACAAAACTCTAGTGGCCTACCTCTTCTCTGAGGGCTCATATACCCCGCTATCGCCTGCTACTGATTCGTCAGACTCTGCTGACGTTACTCCTGCCTTCTTCGATCCTGGCCCAGACATCCTCATTTGCGTAACAGCATCTGCAGGCACAGAAAAGGGGGGAGTAGAAATTTAACACCACGCCACTCTGGATGGGTGTTAGGTTCCTGATCTCGAGCGAGTTCACCTGCTGGGCTAGTTGAGTGAGCTGTAAATCTACCCTATCATACTAGACATTCAGAGGCTTTCTCTAGTTTCAGATGGAATTCTGGATTGTGGATGACAAATAAAGTTACCACGATAAAGAAAAGGGAAAATCTTGCCAAGTTCTTAGAAATGTTTTTTTGGTTTCATGTGATTTTTTTTTTTTTTTTATCTTTTATATTATTTTTAAAAAAAAGTTAAAATGTAAATAATTTTTACAATTAATCTACTGATTATTTTCTTATTAGTCAAATAATCCTCTAGTTAGTTTACCAATTAATAATAGCAGTAACTTCTGCTATTAATCTTTTAGATTTTCATTCAAAATATTATTCAATAATCATATTCATCTCTTTTTACCCCAGTTTAGTCAAATCATGATTATTTTTACGATTAATCTGTTGATTATTTTCTAATCAGTCGATTAATCCTTTAGTTAACTTACCTATAAACAATAAACTTTATCATGGCAAGAATTAAAAGGTATCTATCAGTGTGTGTGTTCACTGCTGTGTGTGTGCACTTTGGATGGGTTAAATGCAGAGCACTAATTCCAAGTATGGGTCACCATACTTGGCCACATGTCACGTCACGTAATACAAATGTCCATGACAGCTTAATGAGCTAAGATATGAAGCAGTTTTGTTCATGGAAAGAGCCATGTACCTTTCAAAGACTCTACTGCACCCTGTTGGTGGTCCTCTTCTAACCGTAGTTCCATTAGTCTGGTTTGTAGATCTAAATCCAACTGTGAGGCTGGACCGGAGAAGGCCTCTCCCGACAGGAAGGAAGCATCAGTAACAAGGGGTGAGCAAGGAGGAGAGAGGGAAGAAAGCGAGGAACGTGGGGACAGTGAGCTCATGGAGTGAGGTGTCTCTGACAGCCGCAGTACTTGGGTTCTCTGGCCCACCCCCGGCCCACTGCCAACTTGCCTGGAGGAGGACGAGACCTCGTTCTCATGGATGGTGGTGATGGAGCTGGAGGGCCTGTAGCCAGAGGTGCTTCCCTCCTGCAATATAGAGTCTAGTTTGTTCTGGAAGTCAGGGTCGCCCAGTTCAGGCTGCTCCAGGTAGATGTCTGTGAAGCTGAGAGAGGAAGTGGAGCCCAAGCTGGAGGTGGCCAGGGATCCTCGGCTGGAAGTCAACGATCCACGGCTGCTGCCTGAGGAACATGATAGCGTGCTGGCTGACAGACTGGAGTTGATGGAAAGAGACAGCGGTAGGGACAGAAGGAGAGCAGGGAAGTTATTCAGAAAGCAGCTCCGGTTCATCTCATTCATATCATCTCCCTCTACCCTACTGAAATAACATCAAATGAATTCTGCTTTAAAGCAAACATGCTAATTAAGGCATGGCAGGCTCATTAGACACACAAGGGACTGTTCCTCCATGCAAGATGCCTTTGATGTGCCTTAACTAGACGCTGAAGATGAATTAGGCATTAGTCAAAATAAATGGTAACTGCAAAACTATTGTTACTAAGTTACCAAGAGTGTTCGCTTGCATCGTTTTATAACTTCAGAAGTCTGATTCTTTGGATAAGTTTGAGCATTCCTATTGCAAAGTCATTACATCATATACTGTCATGAGAAGTTCTTACGACATGCAGCTTCCCCTTGCTGCTGATATTCAAAACTGCAAATTACGTTTTTTTTTCTCTTTGAAGCCTTTTTAAGCCTTTGTGTGTGTGTGTGTGTGTGTGTGTGTGTGTGTGTGTGTGTGTGTGTGTGT